TTTTTTTTTTTTTTTTTTTTTTTTTGGTCTCAACCATAGACCAGGGGGGTCCGGCGTTTTGGGAACGCCGGAGCCCCAGGAGGAAAAAATTCCGACCGGATTTTGGCAAAAAAAGTCAGTTTTGATTTCGTTCAAAAACTATAATATGTCCGTTTTGACGAAATGGTTGTTCCTTGGTCCAATTCTGGACCAAGTATCTTCAGAATACCTTGTGGGTCTGTCGGGTCTTCCCACCACGTGTTCATTGGTTTTTTCCCCACGCTTCTCAAAATGGACACCAAGTATTCTGGGATTGCCTGCTGGATTTTAATTAAGCTGCCTTTTGCTTTCTGTAGGCGTGCCAGCTTGTTCCACAACACTTCAAAACTCCTCCAGTCCATGGTCTGCGTGTCCCAGATATCCTTTATTTGAATAAGACCTCTTTCTACCCAAGATTTCCCGAAAGAACTCCCTCTCCCGTCTGCCAGAAAAGTTGAACCATCTTCTTGTTTTATAAAGTCGTTTTCAAATAGTATTTCTTTTTGGTTCAATATTTCTTATTTAGTGGACGGTGGGATCTGCATGGAGGGTTTGATTTTACTCCATGCATACAAGATGTTTCTCCAGAGCTTGGATTTCGGTCTTCTTCTTACATAGGAGGGGATAAATAAACAGATCCACACATGAGATGAATTTGACAGGTTCCACTCTTTCGCCAAAATACACTCTGCCTGCCTTACCCCATATTTATTTCTGTTACCAAAAACAACAGATACTACCCATTTGCCCAGCAGTCCTAAATTTTGTTGCACCGGGTTTAGGATCCCAAGACCCCCTTGTTCTCTCGGGGTTGCGATCAGGTCCCAGACCACTTTAACCAGGTAACCATGTCTGTTGCCGCAAGTTTCCATAGATAATGTGTTGTGGTTCTCTTTATGCTTGCGTAGGCCTGTTCCCCCAGGAGGTGGATCGAGAGCGGGAACCATAAGAATGAGACGTCTGTACCAAGGCTCTACCGTACAGGGAGAGCTTGTGATTTCGTAACCATCCTGCTATTCTTGATGTCACCTTTTCCACCAGCAGCGAGTCCTGCAGATCTGCACAGTCTAACAATGGAACTTGTACACCCAAAAAGCGATCAGCAGAATTAGCGGGTATCTGCTTCAGGCCCCAGTCCACACTCAACACCTTGGGGGCCGGAAGGAAGTACACTAATTTGTCCCAATTGATTGAAACCTCTGAAAGTTGGCAGTATTCTTCTAAAACTGTTTTGAGTTTTCCTAACGCTACCGGTGTGTTCTCGCAAGCTATTGTTAAGTCATCGGCTATCGCTCCTCCTTTCCATTGCAGTTGTGGGGTTATCCTAAGACCCGTGATCCGGTTGTTTGATATGATATTAGTGAGCAGTACTTCTAACTGAAGAACAAAGAGTAGGGGTGCCAAAGGACATTATTGTCTCAATGATCTGGCGAGTGAAAATTCTCCTGACAGTTTGTCATTCACGACTACCATCGACTGAGCCGAATGGTAGCTTGCTTGAACCGCTCTAGTGAAACTGTCTCCAAAGCCCATTCTCTTTATCGAGGTGTGTACAAAACCCCATCCCATTTTGTCATACGCTTTTTCCATGTTGAGGAGGAGTATTGTCACTTCCCATTTTTTCTTTCCGATTATCTCTAGGGCTTGTATTGTCGCCATTAGACCTTCCTTTTACAAGCGCCCCTTGTTCCCACCTGATTATTTTGGGAGGAGCTTTGCTAGTCGGCTTGCCATTGTCTTAGCGAATAATTTATAGATTACATTCAAAGAAAGATGGGTCTCCAATTTTTAACTGGTCTTTTATCTCCCTTTTTATATAGGAGGGTGATCATACCTTTAGTGAAGCTCCGTGGGAAGGATCCGGATTCTAGTGCTCTATTGTATATGTCACACAAGAAGAGGACAAAGACCTCCCAACACGACAGGTACAATTCGATAGTTAAGCTGTCTAGGCCAGGACATTTGTCTGTGGTCATTTGTTTTGCTGCTATCTCGATTTCCTTTTGTGTCATTGGCATGTTCATCTCCTCTCTAACTGTTGTTGTAATCTTTTTAGTAAGTGGCTCCTAGAAGTCGGAAAAATTCTGAAAGGTCTAAATCTGGGGGTCAAGGGGACTGGTTGAGACAATGTCCCTGAAATAATCCAGGGCATAAGTGCAAAGGTCTACCTTGTCTGTCGTCATAGGAGCATTAATGGCGAATGGGTGTAACAGTTCCCTAACTAACGGTTTAGACTGTCGAAACAACAAGGATAAAGGTTAGCTTTGCCATTCTGTCATAGCTCACTATGCCTCTGATTTTGAGCCGTTTCTGCCACTCATTCTGTTTCTGTATTTCTGGTTGTTCTAATTGCGTTAAGTACTCACTCCGTTTCTCAGTCCAGTAGTAGTACGCAAAGGGATTTGTTCCCATTCGAGCTTTTGCAACCTTTATCGCTTTAACTAGTACTTTTTATTTCCAGGATCTGGATGCCGCTTTCATCCTTGAAAATTCTATAAGGGATGCCCAGATGATAAGGATACCTGCTTCGGCCCACTACTCTGTGTTTTCGAACAGATCCTTTGCATTCTGTCATGTCTGCATTTGATTATTAACCCAGTTCACAACTCCTTTGCGTTCTGTGGCAGGAGAGCTCTCACTGCCACACAACAACAACCATGGATCATGCTCGCCAAATACTCTTTGGCCAAGGATTGGAATTTATCCAATCCTAATGCGGTCTGACACGCCATGGTAATGTGACCCTTCACCTCTACAACAGTGAGTAGTACCTGGAACAACATACTGAAAGCTTGGGGGAAAATGCTGCCCCAGCTTCTAGAGGAACCTGCAACCAGAGAAGAAATCCTTAATACATGCCTGTTCGAAAACCCATCTATCAGGACTACAGTCGGGATCCCCTTCTCAGTAGCAAAGGCACCGGGCAACTTCGGCCTAAAATGGATGCAGCGCGACGTCTGGCTGTTACGCCACATCTGGGACGAGGAGAACAACACTTCGAAGACTGGCAACGAACTCAAAGGGCTGTTGTCAGGCTTACATCATGTGGAAGATCACCTGTCGGACATCACAAGAGCTATCCCACCTAATTGGCTTTCCACCCTCTCCTACCCAGCTAACAGATACCCAGTACAACAATGGTTTGCATCAAAGACCGCCCCAAACGTATTCCATCAGGTCGAAAAGATTAGGGACGATGGCGCAATCGAAGCATCTGAATGGCCACTAAAAGATTCCAGGTTGCAACAATCCAAGGACGCTCATACATTTTCTTCGGTGGGGCTGGAAGAAGTCAAAGTTCAACTGAAGAAGTCGACACAGGGGAGCTCATCCTTTCAGATTCTTATGCGGATGATACCACTCAAGAACTGGAAGGTAGACGTATGTGAATATGGCTGGATGGTTTCTGGCCCGGACAATATATCCTCTAAAATTCCCATCTCAGATTACTTAGCAAAAGTTGGATACAGTTTTCAATCTTCCCCTCAATCTATACAGGTCAGTCTAAGGCTTTTCCTAGGCCGGCAACGCAGAGTCTCCTCGCTAAAACTCCAACCTCTTCCCTCAAAATGGCTCCTCTTCTTCATCAATATCATCCTATCTTCCATCGAGACCAAAGTAGGAGGCCTGCAATGGCTACACCTCCATTCTTGTGTCCCCACAGCAATGTGGCGCTCAAAGAAAGGAACATTAATTTCTGTTTTTTGCGATGCATGCCCCCACCCTTGCTCGGAAGACTGGTTACACATGTGGTGGGAGTGCGTCATCGCCAGGGGTTTCTGGGAGGAGCTGAATCGGTGGTGGTTTAAAGCCTACTCCATTTGTGACTTCTGGTGCCAAGACTTCATCATCACGGGCAGGTTTGGTCCTCTATACAGGAAGCAGCAACCCAGTGTGGTAGCCCAATGCTTCAGAGTAAGAGCATTCTGGCTTCTGTGGATGGCCAGGAGGGACAGAAGATTCCTCAATACGAATTCCTCTCTTCCTACCTCACTCGCTCAATTCAAACAGGCAATTCAGTTAGACATCATGGCATATTGGATCAAGATCAAGAGAAGCTCAGCATCACCAGACATAGCCAAGGCTGTGTTTTAGAAAAAGTGGTCATTGCCCTTCAAATGGGCCGATTTCTCAGACAACAATAGTCTCTTCTACTCTGATCTTCTTTGGAATCACATTCCCCATTAACTACCTCAAACTTCACCCTTCTTTCAAATCTGTTCTCGAACTATAGATAACCCTTGGCCCCCCCTGTGATTGCTACCTTAATGCTTCATGCTGCTACTTCTTAGCTACGGTACTTGTGCAATTTCCAATTTGCTACTTTTGGCCTAGGCCCGAATAGGAATTCTTCAGTATTTATTGGCTGTTTTTGCTCCCTTTATTTCTGCTTCTCTCTAAAGTTTTCCTTTTGTCCATTTGCCTAGTTTCTTTGGAGTTGCAGTTCATGGGACGCTGGACCCGATTTCCAGCACAAGCTTCACTACCGGGTTGAGATGTTGAGGGATTCCAGGCTTCATTCGATTACTTTCATAATATAAGCTGCAACTTGAAAAGAAAACAAAAAAGAAAAAAAAAAGAAAAAGAAAAAAAAAAACTCTCGTCCTATTATTCCCTGGGGCGAGGTCCCACTAGCAGCGGGATAGGATAGAAACGAGTTTGTGGGGCAGTTGAGTGACCCCAATCCTGCCGTGCAGTAGTCGTGATCCCACGGTCGGTGTTTTACTTGTATTACCCGAAAAAATTAGGAGATCTTCGTTCCCCTCCTCCTCTCCTTAACACTGGGCATGCCCGTGCAAAGAAAGCTTCCCGCCAGAATCTTTTCTATCGGTTGGGGGTAAGGCCAACCCCAAAGGAGGGTGGGATCGGCCTTAGCCCACTGGATAGAAGATTTTCAGTATTTTACTTGCTGTTGCGCAATTATCTCATTGGGTGGAGCGCTCCTTCAATCACGGAGTATATGGAGGGTGTCAGGATCAGTGCGGACAGAAGTCAAGTTTATTCCAGCACATGTGGCGGTTACTTTGTTCACTGCTGATGCAACCACCACCATCAAATGATCTGATGGCTGGGAAGCACTCTGCCGTGATTTTCGGTGGGAGGTCTCTGTTTCTTTTTTTTTTTTTTTGCGTTTCTCCTGTTTTCTCAGCCCAGAAATTCGTAATGAACCTGTCGGGCCGCTGCCACTCAGTGTCACACTGGATCGGCCAGACTCCTATCCGACTGCTAATGGGACCTCGCCCCTGGTAAAAATTTCAGACAAAAAAACAAAAGCAGAAATATGAAAACGGACGAACACTCTAGGTATTAGGTTCGACTCTTCATATTAAAAAAAAAATATAATAATAATAATAATAATAATAATAATAATAATAAAATAAAATCAAAGGTGACCTTCCTTGCTACTTGCGCCCAGTCCGGTGCACATTTCCGGACCAGAAGCACCAAAGCGTGGGTTCGAACATATCTGTTGGGTACAGCTGCTTTCTCAGTATGCGATTCAGCGACAGCAGCAGCCCTTCGCCAGGAGCCTGAAGGTCAGGCCTGCAAGTGGGACTAGAACGGGGTAGAAAAGAGGGTGGGCGAGGGGTCTCATAAGGGGTAAGACCCAAGAAAAAAGATGATCGGGGGGTCTCATAAGGGGTAAGAGCCAAGAAAAAAGATGATCGGGGGTCTCATAAGGGGTAAGACCCAAGAAAAAAGAAAATGATCATCAATGGCCAGAGACGAAGGATTCATAGGTAAGTGGGAGGGTAGGTGGGACCTCGCCCCTGGTATTGGTCCTCTCCTTAGCCATTGGATTCTGCCGGCCGCTGACTCAGCAAAGTGAAACGCGAACGAATGAAAGAAATCGGCAGGCAGTCCTTCGGGACATCCGTTAAAATTGGAACGATTTTTTTTATTTTTTATTTTTGGCCTTCATATTGAAAGAAGATTACCGCAGAGACCGCTATCCGCAGAAGAACGAAAAGAAAAAGGGTTCTCAAAAAAAAAAAAAAAGAGGAAAAGAATAAGGGAAAAAAAAGAAAAGGAAAAGAATAAGGGAAAAAAAAGAAAAGGAAAAGGAACGAACCAAAAAGAGCGCCATGCAATGCAATCTTGCTGACGAGACCGCTCTCCGATGAGCTGGAAACGCTCTCGCTGAAAAGACGTTGGGCCTCGACGCGGCACTCAGCAGCAAGGGTGTAAAATGTAGAACGTATCTACCCGGAAACCTGGAAATATTCACCCGCCATAACTTTTCTTTTTCACATTCGGTGACTGGTGCGGCTAGCGGGGTTATCACGGGCCCGTAAGATTTCGACAGACAGATTGCACCCCATCGCTGACTGGCGCGTTGGCACACTTGCCCCGCGCTAAGGGCCTCGCTGCAGAATGTGATAAAGGGGGAATGCATCTCTCCGCAAAAACTGGAACAATACTCTCACAAAATTTTCACATTTGGCGCCTTGGCACACAATTCATCGGAGATTCTTCCCACCCTCGTCTCTGCACTGTCGCTCGAGCGCCAGGCGTGAGGTCCCATTAGCAAAGAGGGATTGGATTGAACGCCTGAATATGGCCGTGTTTGTGGACAAGTGCAGAAAATCGAGATTGAACTCCATTTCTGCATCTCTGCCTAAAACACGCCCACATTCAGGATCTCAACAATCCCGGTTGCTAGTGGGACCATGCTCCAGGAATCAAGCCGGCGAAAAAAAAACAAAAAACAAATCAAGCCGGCGCCGTCCCGCGTGCGCGGAATCTCCGATCTGGACCTGGAGAAATATGGTCCAATGAACGTATCTAACGGGAAATAAGGACTAAGGGAGTATCCGGGATTACAAAGATTGACGGTCAAAAAAAAAAAAAAAAAAAAAAAAAAAGGTTTGACGGTCTGGGAAAGTGGGAACTTGCCCTTGGCGAGGGGGGAAGGGGGAGAAGTGCCCACTTTTACCACCACAGGATCGCAGGCACTCACAGGACGTTGATTAAAAAAAAAAGAAAAAAGAGAAAAAGGTGCCCACTTTCCCAGTTCCCGTCTTTATGGACAATGTGGACAAAAGAAACCTCGCCCCAGAGAGAGAGAGAGAGAGACAGACAGAGACACACACACACACACACACACACACACACACACACACACA